GAAGCCAAGTATGCTTTGTGATATTTATTTTTACTGAAGTATGAAATATTCATCAATATAAATATTAATAACACTCACAAGAAGCCTAAGACTTTTGAGAGTAATTGTTTTTGCTCTAGCGTTTGATAGATTAGAAGCAAAAAAACAGACATGAATCATGACACCTCTTTGTATTTACAATAAGCTGTGTTAAATGCCATCATATTGTCCTCTTAAAAAGAATTAAAAGTGGTAATTATGCATATCTGAACAACCATGCACCAAATTATTATCCTTAGCTCTATCTGAGTGTTGGTGATTGAAATTTATCTTTCACTAATAATCTTGTTTTACTTGTAAAATATACAAAAGATGAACAATAAAAGAATACTAAAAGTAAAAAAAAAAACAACCACCTATATATTTAAGCACAACCTTAGGATGTTAATAGTAAGTGCTTTTAGTCTACCAGAGAAGGGTGTCCGGTTTGGGTTGAGATAAATGTAGAGGGCTCCATGAGTGCTTTGAAGAATAGGTATCGTGTTTGAAGACAATTGAGTAATACGAGGATAAAACTGACTTGAAACAAGGAATAAGAATTTCAAGAGTGAGGGTAGGGAGCAGTACCTGAATGGAGCACGGAGTGTGTGTGACAGAACAAGGACGTGAGTGGAGCAAGGCTCCACTGGACACAGGTTAGTTTAAGGAAAGAACCCCAACTGACCTCCTCTTCAATATATTTTTTCTGCTCTCCAGTAGGTTAAATATACGAGTATTTTGTTTTGAAGTGATCCTTCCACCATAGTTTAAAAACTGGGATATTTAGAGAGGTAGATTAAGATACCCTTCGGAAGTTACAACTGGAAGGGCTTTATAATAATCAAACGTTATTACAGAGAGAGAGAGAGAGAGAGAGAGCGAGAGAGAGATTGATTCAGTTTCCTTTTAACTGCGGGCTTTAACCCCGGACGAGGAAAAAAAAACTGTGGTTCAGAAATCTGGAGACTTTTGAAATGGAGGGCAAACTAAAGAAAATTAAAGGAGTGGTATAGCTCAACTGCCAAGTCACAGATATCTGTGAGAAATGTGCAGTGATTATTTGGCAGTAACGTTTCTCCATTGGGAGATACCTATTTCTCTGAGATGAGGTCTTAACAGGGTCCATGGGGCCCCCACCATGAGAGATGAAGAAATCACAGCCTCTCCTCTGCATCAATCAGGAGGAATTAGAGAGTGGAGCAGTTTCAAGACTGGTAAATAACTATTGGGAGAAATGAATTTATGACACAATCTTGACTTTTTAATTTTTTGTGCCAGGGTCTTGTATAGTTTAGAGACATGCTGGCCTCACCCAATCCCAAGCCTTCTCCTCCCTGTCCCCGCCCCCGACCCCCCACTCCCAGCAACTCCCAGACAAACAAAAAACATCCCATGGGATACTGAAAGAACAAAATGAATAAACTTGGGAAATGCATTCACTGGTTTACTTGCCCATAGGAACATGGCAAAGTCTCAGTCGTCTGGGGAGAGTGTGAGTCGATGTAATTCCACGTGGTCTGAGCACTGAATCATTATTTGTGTCTGTGGGGAAGGAGGTGGGTTCAAATGACGCCAGAAAAAGCCTCTGCGCCCAGAAGCAAGTCTGTCCTAAAGGTTTGTGACGAGAGCTGTGTACCTGGGCTTCACCTCCTGATAAGGCCCCTTTAGGGAGGAGAATCAATCTTCTTTCTTCTCTGTGAGGTCTCTTCTAAGCCCAAGGCCGTGTTTGAAGGACAGAACACCGATTACACCACTGTAAGGAAAAGGGGTTCATAAACCCTGAGGCGGGGTCTGCAGGTGGGGAATGGGAAAAGGGGGAGTGATGAAATCTCTGTCTCAGAGCATTAGTGACAAAATGCCGTCCAGTCCACGTGTGGTCCTAAGCCTATTTTCCTAATTAGGATTCTGAAGGGATCTCTAGGGGACACACGACAATCTCCATGGTGTGGCCATGATGTTGACGCTCTAGGACCCTCCTTGTCATCCTCACGTGTCAGGTCTTGACTTTGTTGTGATTGTGTCAGAGAGGAGGAATCACCTAACCGCCCACAGAGGGTATGAGCTGGCAAAGGCTCCAAAGAACGCCAGGGCCCACGTGGCCCAGGTCCCTGTTCCTACACTAAGAAAACCCTCCAGACAGAGAGCTAAGTGGTCTGCTTGTCCTGAAGCTGATCTTCCTTCCCCACCCTGCCAACTGCCTGTCCCTGCAGATTCGCTGGACTTTGGCCAAACAGGCCCCACTTCTCACTTGTCCAGGAGAGAGATGGCGTGCTCTTGCAGGTAAAACCCAGTGTTCATTGGTGTGAAGATTCTCTTTTTGGTCCTTATTTTAGCAGAGGAATATTACGCATGTAACGTTTCCTTATCATTACTGAAGAGTCACCCTCCAATGATGGTTTCTAAATCCCCAATAATATATCTTTAAGCACTTATTCAGTGTCTTATATAAGTTAATTCATTTAATTCTCTCAGTCATCCTTTGAGGTAGGGTTTATTATTCACCTGATTTTGCACATGAAGAAACTGAGGAACAGAGAGGCCACAAAGCTTGTCTGTGGCAAAGCCAGGATTTACATCCAGCCAGCTGTGCACAGAATCTGTGTGTGTTTGTTTTTTAAACTGTGGTGCTTGTTAGAATCAAGCTGGGTGTCAAAGTAATGACTGGAGATGGTAAATAATTTGTAAGAGTGAAAATCTAACAAATCTGTGCTGCCCCTGAATGCCAGTGCTCTCACCCTGAGCGATCAATGTAAACTTTTACTGTAGATCAGTGTGAAATATATTCCTTTCATAAGGTGTCTCTCTCTCTCTCTCTCTCTCTCTCTCTCTCTCTCTCATCTCTATCTCTATCTCTATCTCTGCCTCCCTCCCTCCTTCTCTGTCTCCCTCTCCTTTCGCTTTCTCTCATTGGGGGATTTGGCATAGAAGAACTGCCTTTTGAGTTTTAAATCCTGTATTTTCTTTTTCAATCCAGGAGTGAAGTTACTTTAAAAGATTCCTCCATTTCTTTAAATTCTTTTTTAAACTTAATTTTAAAAATCAGCATATAAAAACATCAGTAGAAATGAATGTAAAATGGTGTGTTTTTAAATTTAATCTCAAAAATAAACAAAAAGAAAAGCAAGATAAATATGAAGGAATTTACTATACCATGATTTTGTTGGCTGTCTAAGCCCAATGATTTGGATTCTTCCTTGAATTTTGTGGTCTCTTTAATCCTACTAATAACAGCTAACAGTTAACTCCTAATATCTACTAGTTTAATGGTATCTATTCTTTACGTCAGCCCTTTGGATATGTTTTCACTGTTTTACATATGAAAACAGTGAGGTTTAGCAAAAGTGATTCAAGGTCATAAAGTTCACCTTGGAGAATCAGATTGGAATGATGGCCTGACCAACACTGTGAACTATGCTGCTTTCATCCTTATTCAGGGATCTTGCTTTTTTTTCAGGCCCTGCTGCTAATTTTCATGCTATGCAAGATCAGAGAAATGGATTCATGAAACTTTCTCCCTCATTCTGTGCACTGAAGCTCTTTCCTTAACGTGTAGCTAAAGTAGACACTTAAATCTTCATTTCAGGTGTCTGTCTCTTTATTGTAACAGCACCAAGCCCTTTCTTGTATGGAAAAACAAAAGAAAACAAAAAACTGTCTTCTTGAACTGGGAAATTCAAAATGCAAAAGCATGCCAATAGAAAAAAATTGCTTTAGTCTTATCCTTTGTTTTTTCTACTTTCCATGTCATCACAAATGAGCTGATCAACAATTAGTGTGTGTAGATAGCTGCCGTTACAGAGTGTCTCCTTATGTCCTTCCTACAAAACTGTAAGAAAGTGCAGTTTCCATCCACCTATTGTTTGTCTGTAGTTTGCATCAGATGAAACGAGTTGTTTCACTGAGAATTCTGTTTGCCTCTTTATTTATTCTTGCCATTTAGAAATAGTTTATTTTCTAGGCTACTGGTTTCTTTTAGAAATACCTTACCAAAAAGTATTACATGTAAACCTCTATAATTCCAGATTGTGTTAATTATGAGCTTTCATTAGTCAGTTCTAATCATTTGGGAAAAGGAGCTAATGACTTGCATATTTGCTAGCTGAAGCCTCCATGGGCCTGCTGCCCTGGGTCACTGGCCTGGGTGCAGCAGGAACACAGAGGCACACATCACAGGTGAGCCCACTGTGCGTTCTTAGGATTCCATCTCAGGCCCAGACAGGCTCTGCTGCCCACGGGCCCTGGACTCAGCCTGCCCGCCCTTCCTCTGCAGGCTCTTGCCCACACCTCACCTCTTGAAGGTCTTCTATGACTCATTCATGTGCTATCCTTGGAAAAAGATTTAGTCTTTCCAGCTTCCTGTGTCTTTATTACCTCCAAAGACATGCATACAGTACTTTTTTTTTAAGTCAATATCTAATTGTCTGTCATTACTTTTATTCCCCAAAATAGGTGGGTAGAAAAGCATGTGAGAAGGTAGGTGGATAAATAAGCAACATATAAAGAACAGAGGACCCTACTCACTTCATATCTTGGACCAAGAAGCAGGGAAGCCTAGGAAATGAAATGACCTCTCCTTGCAGACATTTTCTCAGGGTCATTTCTCGTCTAACTACATTAATAATTAAGACTCAGCCTCGAAGGGAAGCCAGAACACCTGAATTCTGCAAAACAACATATGTGTATATGTGTGTGCATCCTATTAGGTAGAGTATATAAGAATGTTATAATAGACTTTATTATCTATCTATATGTACACATATATGTTGTATTTCATTGATAAAGGGGAATTTTTTTCTGATTAATAGGACTATACCGTTAGTTTTTACTACATACCTAAAAATAAATTATAGAGAATCCATTCAAAGTAATACATTTCTAAATGTCCACACTGTAACATTCAGTAAATATTTTGGGTCTCGATTGCCCTGTAGCTCTGACCTTCCTGTCCTGGCCGTGGACTTGTCAATCTCTGTCTCAGAAGCATGGGACGCAACCAGACATGGATCACAGAAGTCACTCTGCTGGGATTCCAGGTTGATCCAGCATTGGAGTTGTTCCTCTTTGGAGTTTTCTCTCTCCTCTATGCCCTCACCCTTCTGGGGAATGGAATCATTGTGGGGCTTATCTGCTTAGATTCTAGACTGCACACCCCCATGTACTTCTTCCTCTCACACCTGGCCGTCATTGACATGTCCTATGCTTCCAACAACGTCCCCAAGATGCTGGCAACTCTTGTGAGTCAGAACAGAACCATATCCTTTGTCCCTTGCATTATGCAAACATTTTTGTTTTTGGCCTTTGCTCACGCAGAGTGCCTGATTTTGATGGTGATGTCCTATGACCGGTATGTGGCCATCTGCCACCCTCTACGTTACTCTGTCATCATGAGCTGGAGAGTGTGCACAGTCCTGGCCATCACTTCCTGGGTGTTTAGCTTCCTCCTGGCCCTAGTCCACCTGGTTCTCATCCTGAGGCTGCCCTTCTGTGGGCCTCATGAAATCAACCACTTCTTCTGTGAAATCCTGTCTGTCCTCAAGCTGGCCTGTGCTGACACGAGGCTCAACCAAGTTGTCATCTTTGCTGCCTGTGTGTTTATTTTACTGGGGCCCCTCTGCCTGGTGCTGGTCTCCTACGCATGCATCCTCTCTGCCATCCTGAGGATCCAGTCAGGGGAGGGCCGCAGAAAGGCCTTCTCCACCTGCTCCTCCCACCTCTGTGTGGTCGGGCTCTTCTTTGGCAGTGCCATCGTCATGTACATGGCCCCCAAGTCCCGCCATCCCGAGGAGCAGCAGAAGATCCTGTCCCTGTTTTACAGCCTTTTCAACCCCATGCTGAACCCCCTGATCTACAGCCTGAGGAACGCAGAGGTGAAGGGTGCCCTGAGGAGAGTGAAGTGGGAACAGAGATCGATGTGAGGGAAGCCAGGGAACATCACGGGGCGAGGGCTTTGCTCCCTCTGAAGTGTGACAGGGGCACTTTTGCCTTATGCTGTAATAAGTAATACACTAAAATGACTATTATAGGCCTCAGTCAATAACCTGAAACCATGTAGGCTTTAGAACGTAAACTAGATGACTATCTCCATGACCTTGGGTAGGCAAAGATTCTTAGAGATGATCGAAAAGCACAAGACAATAAATATTGGACCTTTTCAAAATGAATCATTCTGCTCATCAAAGTCACTATTCAGAAACAAGAAATGCAAGTAACAGACCATGTGTGTTATATGTTTTTAAAAATTGTGATGATCAGTCAGGTGCAGCCGTAAGAGGAGAAAAAGGAGAGGCTTAGCGACAAAACAGAGTCATCACACTCACAAGTTCTGGAGACAGCAGGTGTGGAGCACGGCGCAGGCCACGTGGGCGGGCAGACGCCATGCTGGTCCGGAGACCTGAGCCGAGCGCAGGCAAGGAGGGAGCCGCAGGGAACGCCCAATGCAGGGGAGGGCAAGAGCCACTGGGGGCTCTGAGAACAGATAGATCTTTACCAGGTAAAGAAAGGGCACCGTGTGGATTGATAGCGCAGGAGAATTCTGCAGCAGAGAAGTCCTCTAATACTCGGAGCCCAAGTTATCTTACTTTTAATAATCGCATTTTAAATCTATCTGGCCTCTCTTCTCCGTTGACAGGTAAAATGCTTTATAATAGTATGTGGTATTGTTTTCTTCTTTCTTTCTTGGGCCTCCTCAGTCAATTTGAAAATCAACATGCCCTTTTCTGACCTTCAGACAACTGGGCATGCGTTTCCTCTCAGTTTCTGCCAGTTCCCTGGTATTTAAATATTCCCCTGACAAATTGCTCTGTGATTTGCTTAGAAATATTTTTTTTACCATCTTTTCACAAGAAGATTTGGACATTTCTGGCTTCCATCTAATTTAATCAAAACATCTATTAAAAAAGAAATATAGCAAAGTAATTTGAAAAGACTGCACAGTGTGCATTCGTAAACTTCAAGCCCATGAAATGATGAATCCCTGACCTCTAAAAGCAATATGAAATGAAAATAAATAAATTCTATCATTTTTGCTTATCAAACCTTACAAAATTACAATAGATAATAGCTTCAAATCCTAAAGCAGATTTCTCAAACATACTGCTTCCATTGTAAGAATAAAGTAAAAAAAACAAAAAAACCTTTCTCTCACCAAATTGTAGTTACTAAATAAGGTTAAAACACGAATGGGGCTTCTCGGTGCAGCTGCTGAAAAAGAAGGTGCTTGAGGCACCACCAGCCATGCAGGCAGGGTGGCAGCGGTGGGGACTGCAGGCTCCGTGGACAGTCTCCTCAAGGTGCAACAAAGCCCAGGAGTTTGGAAGATGTAGGAAGGTCATCAAGATAAATGTTCCCAAAAACTTATAGAAGATAGCTGTGAAATAACTCCTGGGACCACAACTGTATGTAAGAAGTGGTCCCCAAATTTACATCCTGCAGATGGATATTCCAGTCCTTAGCCATGGTGGTTAAAAATCCTGTACAGCCCCAAGTGCGGCATGCAACAGTTTGGGAAGGAAAACTGCAGAACTGATTAAGAAGACAGATGAATAGAAACAAATGATGAAAATTAATGTTTTATTTGACATTGATAACCTTATCTCACAATAAATTGTATAGAAAAAAACACGAATGGGGAATTCTCCTTCTGGTATGACAGTGTGACAAGCTCTGTGGACGTGTTCCCCAGTGAGACTCGTGAAAATTGTTTTTAAACAACCAGTTGCAGTTTCTGGAAATGGCCCTACGGGTATACAGCTAATGAAACATTTATTCAAGAAAATCTACTAAAATTCAGTAAGAAGAGCAAGTCTGTGATATCTGAACCAAAATCAGCTGCCTCCCTCCCCCTACTAAACTCATGGAGAATGAAATTCCACTCTAACACAAGCAGCCCAGACCACAGGGTTCCCCCTCAGTCCCTAACTCCCCATCTGAGGGCTATCTCCAAGGAGGGGTGGGACATCAGCATCCTATCCTGCCCCCAAGCTACATGCGACTGAGGCTAAATTCTGGGTGATAGAGGCAGCCACATGGGGAATCCCTTCTGCCCAGCCCCCACTCATGGGGCAGTGACTCTTTCTTGGGCACAGCACCACTCTAATGTGGTGCTCCCACCCCAGAAAAGGCTAGTCAAGAAGACCTGTGACTACTGCCCTTCTCCCCATTCCAGACTGAGAGCCCAATTCCTAAAATGGACTATCACTCAGGGAGAAGTATGCCATTGTCCCCACCCTGAGCCATAAAACTGACTCAGATTTTGCCTGGAGGTAAAAGCGGGCCCAGCTATCAAATAGCTAGTAATCTCTCCTAAAGGAGCTGACTTCGTTTGCAACCCAGCATGGAGAAACCCAAGCCTAAGGGCTCACTCACAAACATCTGGAAGCTATGGTAGAAAACACTTGGAAAGAGAGTGTTAGATTCATTGGAGATATAGGCTAAACTCTAGGCTGGCTAGTTGACAGGGAAGCACTGGAGAAAGAAGTGCTGAAGTGACTCTATAGGGGCCGGAAGGAATCTTCAACACTGAAGTCTCCATCTGATGGAGCCCTTCAGTGGAGCCAAAATTTGATTGGCTCTTTCTCTCAAGTAATTTATGCCCTGGAGCACTGTTGAAAACAATAACAAACAGCCCACAGTTAGTGGAGTTGAACAGCTGGGTATGGTTAAGGAAATAGGCAAAGAGCTTTGTCAAAACCATCTCATCCCAGGGTGACTAGGCTTAAGCCAAGGTTGCCCTCCAAGAAAAGCAACATCCTCTGATGTTAGCACTTAACACTGAAGTATGGGTGGAAGGGCGAATAGAAGTCACTAGAATAATCCAGCCAGTTAACAAACAAACAAGTAAGCAAGCAGATAAGAATAAAAAGCCCCAGAGAAGAGTGGGGAAGGTACCAACAACATCCAGAGTTTTATCTAAAATGTCCAGTTTCCAACAAAAGAATTATGAGACATGTAAAGAAATGAAGTATGACCTACACTCCAGAAAAAAAGCAGGGAACAGAAACTGCCTGTAAGAGTGACCAGATGTTGGGTTTAATAGACAAAGACATCAAAGTAGCCATTATAAATGTGTTGGATGAACTAAAGGAAACTGATTAAAGAAGTAAAGGACTGTACCAATTTGGACCACCATGTTACATTTCGTTAAACCAAAGAATACATGTTTTAGCTCCTGTTGGCCAAGAATGGGCAAAGAGGTACCCTATCACATAGATATATTATGCTGCATATCATTCTCTGAGTAGTGGTTTGATAGAGAATTAGAATGGGCAATTAGACATCTGTTATCTAAAATGGAAGGAGATTAAGGTATAAAGGATTTGCTTACATACCTTCATGAGTGTGTGCTTACACTGAACATGAGTGGGACCAAGGGAGAGTCGCCTCTCAACAGCTGCCTCCACTTTCCTGGGGATTTGAGGAAAAGGGGGTGGGAAGGACCCCGGTACCACTGTACAGTTCTTCCCCACACTATCTCAGTTTCCCGTTTTCCTGCTTTAAGGACAGTTGTCCCCAAACCAGGGCTGCAACCATGGTTGCCAGAGCAGTGATAATCCCTAAGCAAGAAACTATAGCTTAGCTATACCTTTAAACATTTATGCCAGAATTCCCAAAGGCTGCTGGATGCATGTGTTTTTATCCCATCTTGCAAAACGGGGGTTGACAGTGAAGGTAGCTATATTGCCTAGTGGTTGAGATCAATCGCCCAATAGTTCTGTACCTATAGAACCCTACCCTACAGGAATGGGGTGGACTTGTCAGCAATGTGTAACAACAGCACAGTGGCTGAACCTCATATTCCTTCTAAAGGTGGAAAACTGGGTTAAAATCAATGATAAATGGAGAAAAGGAGAAATAGTAGCTGAGAATAAACAAGTGAATAATTCGATTGCATAATAAGGGAAATCTAATATTACCTTTGTGCCTCAAGAAAGGCTCAGAGCTAGAGACTGATATTGTTTCTTAACACAATTATACCAGATGCAGAAAATGGTGAGGTCATCTGTTTGCCTGAACCAGCCTTGCTTTTGGAACCTGACAAGGTCAAATGGAAGTATGCAATCCTGAGTGCATTGTACCAGGATGCATTTTGGTCATATGTTATGATGATAAACTGGATCAATTATTGGTGACTGAGTGGAATTCTAATGTAGCAGTAATATTTGACTCTTATTTTTTAGGTTGCTTCTAAAAAGGATCTCATTTGGGAAGAAATTTCCAGAAGCCACTCTCCACATGGCCATGTAAAACAGACCATTTGTTTTACAATTCTCAGCTGACTGATCACTATGCAACTATAAACCTTGATGATCAAATGCTTAGAAAGGTCCCTGGTTGTAACGGACAGAATATAGCAACTGCGTTTCTAGCATGCCATGGTGTGCTGTGCACAGGTACACATTTGTTTTTGTGGGTGGAAAGCTATTAGACAGAATAGTAGGAGACAGTGGGTTTCTGATGGGAATAAAATGTAGACTTCACATGGTAGGTATGAATTCCTTTAGAAATGGCCCCACTCTGACATGAGGAAGTTTCTAGACGGCCTTAATGGCATACCCAGACTAAATTATATCTAGGTGGGACTACCACTTATACTAACTCTAATATTGGAGACCCTATATTTTAGAGGGTAACATACATCATAACTGCACTTACTCCATTAGTACACAGTGGAAATAACAAGCATGGTGGATTGTCCCACAAAACAAAACAAAAATGGTTTTAGGGGAGATAAGCCATTTAGGTATCACTGGACATGCTGACTTTACGTTTATGAGGAGTGACAGTCAGTGGGAAAAGATTTGTTCACAAGAATGAGCCGATTAGAGAGAATTCTCTTCTGGGAAGAAGGCAAAAGAGGTAGGAGTCAGCCTGGAAATATGACGAGACTTCAGTGGAGTCGGCCAGGCAAACCCAGCCA